GACTAAAGCTGTTAAACAATCTCAATCTCTTCACCATCCTTCCTGATGCTGCCAGTTGGCCCAGTGGTGAGAATCTTTGTTTTCTTGATATTGAGCCTCAGTCCATATTGAAGGCTGAAGTCCTTGACCTAATGCAGCAAGCACTTCAGGTCCTCCTCAGTTTCAGCAAGCAGGGTTGTGTCATCTGCATATTGCAGATTGTTGATGAATTTTCTTCCAATCCTGATGTCACACTTCTCATACAGCCCAGAAATCTGGAGGACAACCACTTGGCCAGCTGACTGGCAGCTATATTTGTTTCTAATTCAAAGAAAGAATATCCAACAGAGTGTGGAAATTATTGAACAATATCATTAATATTAGATGCAAGCAAGATTCTGCTAAAGATTATCCAAAAAATTACCGGAACAGCACATCAGCAGAGAACTGCCAGAAGTCCAGGCTGGGTTTAGAAGGGGTTGTGGTACTAGGAATATTGTAGCTAATGTTAGATGGGTCTTGGCTGAAAGCAGATAATACCAGAGGGATATCTATCTGTGTTTCATTGATTATGCAAAGGTGTTTGTGTGGATCATAACAAACTGTGGCTGACTCTGAGGAGAATGGGAATCCCAGAACACTTGATCATGCTAATGTGAAACCAGGAGGCAGTTTTCAGCACAGAGCAAGGAAACACTGCATGGATCAAATTTGGGAAGGGTGTATGACAGGGATGTGTCCTATCTCCATACTTTTCAACCTGTATTTATTGAGTAGGAAGAGCAAATACTTTGCAGCCCAGCAGCACAAGGCCCCGTCTGTTCTCTCAATCCTAGTATAAGACCTTCAGGTTGTTTTTATGTACAGTGAATAGGAACCCATAGGGTCAAGGGTTGGCAAAGGAGAGGAAGACCTTCAGCCAGGTGGATTGATACGGTGACGGCTGCAGTGGACTTTTGTGTGTCAGAAATTGTGAAAATGGCGCAGGATAGAACAAGGTTCAGATCTTTTGTTCATAGGGTCGCTATGAGTCATGTTCAACGTGAGGCCACCTAACAACAACAGTTGTATTTATTGAGGGGAAAATATGTTAAATTGTCACTCTTTTTTAGGGAGTTGCCAGATTCTTACTTTTGAATTAAATTCTTGCTACTCTACTACAGCTTAAAGGAGGCCATTTATGAGCATCACTGAATTATGATGGGTTGTTTGGATTTTATTTTTTAGTGTGGTAAATATATGGGTGACAAAACATTGGACATTTCAACCGTCTTCACATATACAGTTCATTGACATGTTAATCATGTTGTTCAGTCATCATCCTGCCCCATTCCCCTCTCACACCGTCCCCTTTAACAGAAGCTCAGGGTCTCTTAAGCATTGAGTCCTTGTCTGTCTCATCCACTCATTCCTGGGAACCGCTAAGGAACTTCGATCTGTATATACTTGCCTATTTCAGACGTTGTCAGGTGTCTTTGAGTCAAGTATGATTCATGACGACCCTGTGAACAACAGCTCTGAACCCTGGCCTCTCCGGAGCCGTCTTCACCATCTCTTACACACTTGAGCCCATTGCTGCAGTCACTGTGTCAGTCCATCTCGTTGAGAGTCTTCCTATCGCTGACCCTCCACCTTTCCAAACACGATGTCTCTTTCCAAGGAATAGCTTCTCCTAGCAACGCGCCCAAAGTCTGGCAGATGAGGCTGTAGCATCTTTGCGTCCAGGGAGTGAGTGCTCTGGCTTTTCCCAAAACACATCTGTTTGTTCTTTTGTCAGTATATAGGATGTGCATTACTCTTCTCCAACACCAAAACCCAAAGGCACCAATTCTTCTATCATCTTAACTCATCGTGTAGCTCTCAGATGCACAGCAGGTGATTAAGACCATGGCCTGAATCAGGTGCACCTTTGTCTTCAGACTGACATCATTGCTCTTCAGTATTTTGGAGAGATCCCTGACAAAAGGCTTACCCAATGCAATGTGTCTTCTGACCTCCTCACTGCTGGTACCAAGGGTATCAGTGCTTTCACCATCTAGCATGATGTTGCTAATTGGCCCAGTTGTGAAGATTTTTGTCTTCTTGGTGTTGAGATGTAATCCAGTTGAATACTGTATCCCTTCATCATCTGCAGCAAACATTTCAAGTCCTTCTCACTGTCAGCAAGCAAAGTTGTGTCATCTGCATAATACAGGTTGTTGATGAGTCTTCCTCCTGTACTGATGCTATATTCCTCTTCATAGAGTCCAGCTTCATGAATTATTTACTCAGCATACAGATTGAGAAAGGGTACATCCCTGGTGCACAGTCTTCCTGCTTTTAATCCGTGCAGAGTTCCTTTGCTCCTTTTGGACAACAGCTTCTTGGTCGAGGTATAGGTTTTGTATAAGCATGATCATTGGACCAAATGATTGGTAGAAATAGGTGCAGGCCCATGTGGGTTGGCCTGTCTGACTATGTAGCTTTGTATGGTGCTGTGGGTGTCATTAGTGGGGACAGTTCCCCTTTATAAATAAGTGGGTAAAAGGCAGGCTCAGCCACCCCTATGTTGCAACTGCTCCTTTTTCTTTTTTTAAATATTTATTTGTTCTTTTTGTGTGTGTACCGTCAAATTGGATCTGACTGGTACAGGAGGCAATTGTTCCTCCTTCTTCACCAGAACATCTGGTGGATTTGAACCGTGCACCTCTGGGATTGCAGTGCAGTTTCCTGCCACTAGGCCACCAGAGCTCGCTGCAACTGCTCCTTTTATAAGCACATTTTATTCATTCATGTGTTGATGGGCTGTGTCCACTGTTTGACAACGTGCTATAATAAACATTGGTATACAAATACCTGATTGTTGTTCTGCTTGTAGTTCTTTTGAGTGTCTACTTAGGACTAAAATTGCCGAATCATATGGTAATTTTGTGATAAATTTTTGAGAACACACTGAAATGATTTTCATAGAAGCTGCCCCATTTTACAATCCTACCAGAAATGAGTAACAGTTCCACTTTCTCTGTTGTTGTTGTTATGTGCCATCAAGTCGCTTGCACCTCATAGCGACCCTAGGTACAAGAGCTCTAAACGCCATTCTATCCTGTGCCAGCCTAGCCATCTCAAATGCACTCTTTCCCACCACTCCACCCACAGAATCGATTCATCTCATCGAAGGTCTTCCTCTCCTGCGCTGTCCCTCCACTCTCCCAAACATGATGTCCCTCTCCAAGGACCAGTCCCTCCTTGCAATATGCTCAAAGTATGTCAGATGAAGCTTCAGAATCCTTGACTCCAAGGAGCATTCCGACTTCACCCTCTCCAGGACAAACCTGTTTGTTCTCCTAGCAGTCCATGATATACTCAACACTCTTCTCCAGCACCACAGCTCAAAGGCATCAATTCTCCTTCTATCATCCCTATTCACTGTCCAACTCTCTGATGCATAGCACGTAATTGTGAAGACTAGAGCCCGGATCAGGTGCACCTTAGTCTCTTTGTATATGCTTCATCATTGGACCAAATGATTGATAGAAATAGGTACAGTCCCATGAGGGGTGGCTTGTCTGACTATGTAGCTGTTTGTATGGTGCTGTGGGTGTCATTGGTGGGGACAGTTCCCTTTATAAATACGTGGTTAGAAAACAGACTCAGCCACCCCTGTGTTGCAACTGTGTTGTTGCTCTTCAGTACTCTTAGAGGTCCCTCACAGCTGACTTTCCCGATGCAGTTCGTCTCTTGATTTCCTGGCTGCTGTTAGCAGGAGTGTTGATTGTAGAGCCAAGCAGACTAAAGCTGCTAAACAATCTCAATCTCTTCACCATCCATCTTGATGATGCCAGTTGGCCAAGTGGTGAGAATCTTTGTTTTCTTGATGTTGAGCTTCAATCCATATTGAAGGCTGCAGTCCTAGACCTTCTGCAGCAAGCGCTTCAGGACTTTCCTCTACATCCTTGTAAATACTTGTTGTCTTTTAAAAAATGAAATTACTATTTTTCCTCTAAGGTAGAAGGTCAGCAAAAAAAAAAAAAAGGAAGACCCTCAACGAGATGGACTAACACAGTGGCTGTATCAATGGGCTCATGTATATGAGAGATGATGAGGACGGCACAGGAGAGGACACGATTCAGAGCTGTTATTCATAGGGTCACTGTGAACTGTATTTAACGCGATGGCACCCAACAATATCTCTCCTAACAGTTTACACACGTATATATTGTAATTTAAGGCTTTAGTGATAAATTCAGTCAAATACCTACATTTTCACTATAAATTCAGGCTTATGGTAAAATTTCTTGTGGGCATTGCATGAGAAGTATTAGACTGATTCATGCACTCAAAGCATGATGGTGAAAGCAATTCATCAATAGAGAACAATGTATATTTGATTATTTTATTCATGAACTATAGTATCTCATTCCCGTGTGTTTGGAATCTCATTACTATGATTTCTTAGAACAGACTGAGGGAGTTACAAATGTTCAAAGGACAAGATTACTGGGTAAGGGTACTAAGGTTTTTGCAAAAGGCAGACTTTCAGATTCAGGGTATTGAGAGTGATACAGGCAAGAAATCTCGACCAATTTAATTAGCACTTGACTCACTAACTAATGAGAATGATCATCAAACACCCCCCCTTTTTTATTTTTTAGAACATCAGCACTGGAATGGCTGTCGCTGGAATGATATTACTTTTAAGAAGTGTTCGAGTGGTAAGTTTAAAAAATGAAAGAGATTTAATAATAAGCAATAGATGATTTATTTCCACCAGACAGTGTTTATCTGAAGCAGTATATACTTTTGTTATTTGTATTAGAAGCCTTTCAATTGTATTTTAGTATGATGAGTGCATTTTACTGTCTTGACTTAAAAGTAGCATATCCACAGCATTTTATGAGAAGTAATTGCACAACCTGCATGTCTTTAATTTCCTTTCACTTCAGAAGAAATCTAAATGATTATTTAGCTTGCCAGAATAGCATAATCACTACATTTCAGACATTGCAGATCATTTCAAAATTGTTTTCTGCAGTGGTTTTAGAATAGATCAATAATGAATTTCGTTGTCTGGTACTGAATATTTTATTCTTGCACTTAATGCAATTTTTTTTGTCCTTTCAAGATTTTAATAATAGACACAGTATAAATCTATTTGATGAGTCAAGGCTCAAAATATATTTAATCTAATTCTTACCATAGAAAATCATTTCAGTGCCATGTGGAGGACTGGCATGGACTTTTCTATTTACAGTTTGTTTTTTCATTTATTCTCTGTACTGCTTTATGGTGCCATTCATTTCATACTATTAGTCTACAGTAGTGCATCCTGTCCAACTGCTGCCTTTTCTCCTCTTATTAACTTTAGAGCTTTTCTCTCTTCTTAATTTTATTTGCTCAGTGTTTTCACCTAATTGTTTAAACCATCTCTCTGTTTCTTACAACACTTTGACCATAGATATATATTTTTTCGAATGAACTTTAAGTCTTTTCAAGCTACTTTTCCTTTACTTTATAATCCATGTGCTTTGCGACATCCTTGTCCACTGATGATTTAAAATTTGCCAGCAAAGCTTGCATGGCTAATGAGTGATTCAGGCAAGACTGGTACTGAGGAGCCAGTGTTCTTGTTAGCTGTTAAAGAATTGGTGGTGCTTCGTGCCATCGAGTTGGAAGTCACTTTAAGCTGACCCTCCAGCAGAAAGACATGGGTACACAGGGTTTTCGGAGGCTGTTTCAGAAGTGGTTGGTCAATCCTTCTTCCTACTCTGTCTTAATCTGAATGTTCAGATTTAGAGGAGTATCTGACAGAGAAGCAATTTATAAAACTGTGAAAGAGAAATCCCTCATTGTGGAGTTAACCATTAGTTACAGTGTTGTCTCTGGCCTTGGCCCAGTGTCTTGACCCACTTATTTACCAGCTCCACCCTCCACCAGGATACCCCTTCACTTCTACCGAATCCCTTCGAATCCAGTAGCCAGGAAATCAAAAAACGTATCACGATGGGAAAGTCTGCTGTTAGGGACCTATCCAAAGTACTGAAGAGCAACGGTGTCACTCTGGAGACTAAGGTGCATCTGATACAGGCTATGGTCTTTGCAATCACTTGTTATGCATCAGAGAGTTGAACAATGACTAGGGAGGATAGAAGGAGAATTGATGTCTTTGAGCTGTGGTGCTAGAGAAGAGTATTGAATGTACCATGGACTGCCAAGAAAACATTCATCCTAGAGAGGGTTAAACCAGGCTGCTCCTTGGAGGCAAAGATTCTGGGGCTTCATCTGACATACTTTGGACATGTTGTAAGGAGGGACCGGTCCTTGGAGAGGGACATCGCAGGAGGGGAAGCCCTCTCTCTATGAGGTGGATTGATTCAGGGACTGGAGTAATAGGGATGGGTGTGTCAGAGGCAGTGCGATTGGCACAGGACAGAGCAGAGTTTAGGGCTGTTGTACATAGGGTCACTATGAGTCACAAACAACTCAACGGCACATAACAACAACAACAACAACAACAACTCCATCAGATTTTCAGATGCTGTAAGTCACATGGGAGGAGATTGCCTGTCTTTCTTCCCTGGAGAAGCTGGTGAATTCCAACCACCTGTGTTTAGGGTTGCAGAGCAACTCTTGTAACCACTAGGCTACCAGAGCTCCCTCTTTAAATAATACATTTATGGATTATGGATGATTTTAAACTATTTGTTATTTTGAACATAGAGTTCACGATTTCACGTTGGAAATAAGAGACCAGTTACAGCTTACTGTTTTCTTTTTCATCTCAAGAGCCTTCCTGTCTTGATCCTCCTTGGATGTTAGGCACATTCCTGATGTGTCCAAGTTACTAAAGGGATTAAAATAGGTTTATTTTATATATTACAAAGTTACTCATTGTAGACTTTCGTTCTAATGCTATTTTCAAAGACTTTTAATTTTTTTATTACACTGAATGATGAGAACAAACTGAGGAGATAGAAAAGAACATTGGAACATGAGGGGGTAAAACACTCTGTAAGGTACTAGGGTAACTTTGGCTGTAAGCAAGGATACGTCAACTAACAGTGGCTTAATTTTCTCACGTGATGTAAGGTCTGTAGGTGGGCTGCTGGCAGTGGGTCCCAGAGGTGGTGACTTAAGCGCCAAAGTCTAGATTGTTGTTGTTGTTATGTGCCATCTAGTCACTTGCAACTCATAGCGACCCTGTGTATAACAGCGCTAAACCCTGCTCTATCTCTTGCCAATCTTATTGTCTCCAACACACTCATCCCCATTACCCCAGTGACGGAATCAATTTATCTCATCGAAGGTTTTCCTCTCCTGAACTGTCCCTCCACCCTCCCAAGCATGACGTCCCTCTCCAAGTACTGATCCCACCTTGCAATGTGTCCAAAGTATGTCAGACGAAGCTTCAGAATCCTTGCCTCCAAGGAGCAGCCTGGCTTCACCCTCTCCAGGACGAACTTGTTCTCCTAGAAGTCCATGGTATATTCAGTATTCTTCTCCAGCACCACAGCTCAAAGGCATCAACTCTCCTTCAGTCATCCCTAGTCATTGTCCAGGTCTCTGATGCATAGCAAGTAATTACAAAGACACCTTAGTCTCCAGACTGACTTTGTTACTCCTCAGTACATTGGAGAGGTCACTGACAGTAGACTTTCCCAGTACAATTTGTCTTTTAATTTCCTGGCTGCTGGTACCGAGAGTACATCCAGCCAAATAATTTAGTGCACATTGGTAAGATAGTGGAGCCTGGCCTTCTATCTCTGTCACTTCATAGAACATTCAAGAAAACTACGACTGTCCTCTTGGTCTTCAATTTTTAAAGAGGAGAGGAATGTTCTATACAAACCCAGTGGTAAATAGTTGGTGATCTGGGTTCGCTGCTTGGTTCTCAGGCAACACGTTAACATGAGATCTTAGTGAAAGTGTTCCCCACCATCCTCTAATGTCTATGCATTGAAGCTCGCCATCATCCTCAGCTCGCCCTCATCCTCAGCTCACCCTCATCCTCAGCTTCTCCTCATCCTCACCTCACCCTCATCCTCAGCTCTCCCTCATCCTCACCTCACCCTCATCCTCAGCTCTCCCTCATCCTCAGCTCTCCCTCATCCTCAGCTCTCCCTCATCCTCAGCTCGCCCTCATCCTCAGCTCTCCCTCATCCTCAGCTCGCCCTCATCCTCAGCTCGCCCTCATCCTCAGCTCTCCCTCATCCTCAGCTCGCCCTCATCCTCAGCTCTCCCTCATCCTCAGCTCTCCCTCATCCTCAGCTCACCCTTCATCCCGAGCTCACCCTCATCCTCAGCTCGCCCTCATCCTCAGCTCACCCTCATCCTCAGCTCGCCCTCATCCTCAGCTCACCCTCATCCTCAGCTCGCCCGTGGTTTGCTCTCTAGTTGTCCATGGTGGTTTTATGTACACTTTTTATTTCATTTTACTTTTTGTCTGACATCCAAATATTTTCTGTTATGTTGGCGAGCACCACACTGAGCTTTCTGCTGTGGTGGGATCTGTCAGGAGGAGACACAGCGGGGCCTCGATGCCAAGTTCTTCACCTGGAACGTAAGTTCTTGGAGCACAGAAGCATTGAGCTTTTCTTCCGTTTCTTCCCTGGTTCTTTAATAGTTTCCAGACTTTAGTTTGGGAGGGCAGCCTGTCTCAACCCTCGTTCTGCTCCCCCACTCTGCCTGTCCCAGAGCCTGGGATCCGGAATATCCACCGACACTAAGCCTGGGAACTGCACCCCTCTCTGTCCTGGTTTCTCCTTGTCAGGGGAGCCCCTTCCTTGCTATGGCCTATTATGTTCATGTTGTTTGACCATCGAGCTGACTATGACTCATAGTGACCCCGTGAACAACAGCGCTGCCATCTCCTGTGCTGTCTGTATGACCTCAGCTGTGCTCAGTCACTGTGTCACTCCCTGTGACATCTGCATGGCCTCTGCTGCGTTCCGACCCATCACACCAGTCTTTGTGTCGCTCCCCATGCCATCTGCACGACCTCTGCTTCGCTCAGACCCATTGATACATCACTGTGTTGGTCCCTGTGCCGGCTGCGTGGCCTCTACTGGGCTCCGGACCCGGTGCCCCGTCACTGTGTTGGTGTCTGTGCCGGCTGCGTGGCCTCT